AATTTTGCAGACTTTTTTTAAAAAATAATTAAATAAATTAATACAAATTTCATATCTACGAATAAAACCAAGGAAAAAGTATTTTCCCACCGACAGATTTTTATATTATTTAAAATATGTATAAAAAAAAAACATTGGACTCACCTCGCCGTCACACTTCCAAGTAATCGGAATACACGTCCCAGACTCGCAAGTAAAACTGGTCGAATTACAACTGTGTTGATTGCAATTGATTTCGTCGGAGAGATCAGGGCAGTCGTAATGCCCGTTGCAGACGAGGTACTCAGATATGCAGGCACCCTCCTGACATTGAAACTCATCTGAAAGATATTAGAACCATTGTGAACGATCGCTTACTCGATGCAAGTGCAGAGTGCAATACAGGTCGAGCCTGTGAACCAGGGTGAGTTCAATACATCGGGCATCGTTTCCCAATGGCAAATCTCTCCACGATTGTCTCAAGCAAACAACAACACGATCGTTTTGAAATGTTAATTTATTGATTCAGATAATATATAGACGAGCTATTCAATAGCTACTCATAATTGGACGTTCATTTTATATACACAACATAATTCGCTAATATAAATAATTGCTATAATTTACTAAACGATTAAACAGTTTTGTTGTTATAAATAATTAGGATGTTGTAGATAATATTTGATAATAAATGGTTTGATTTACTGGAATCGCATTCCTTTTTAACGCAGCCCTCTTCGTCTGTACCGTCCGTGCAGTCTCGCTGGGAATTGCAACGTTTCGTCTTGCTTATGCATTCGCCGTTCTTGCATCGAAACTGATCTTCCTGATCGCATTTGTTGTTGGACCAAGAGAAATCACAAGAGCTTGACTCGTCTTCTCCGTTTGGACAGTCTCGTACCCCATCGCACCTAAAGTTCAACCCCTCTCATTAAAATCTGACTGTTCGAAATTCTATTAAAGCTCCCTAAACGCGAAGCCCATAAACTTTCCCGGCTAGTCTGATTGACTTTCCTATTTCACTTACAAATTCATGTAAGTAATTCTGAATAAAATAAAACACTTAAGTATAGACTGCTGTACCTTTGGCCAAGTTTTATGCACAAGTCGTGTTCCCCGCATTTGACTTCGCCAGGGTTGCACGCGGTCTGAGGGCTGCACGTTCGATTATCTGCGCCCAGCATCATGTCAGGCGGACACGCACAAATCTGTAAATGCATGCAATGAATGCGTGTACGAATAAATTAACAGAAACTCGTGCGAATGTAGAATTAAGCCCAGCCTTACGAGACTTACGTGCGAACCAGTGCCGGATAGTAGGCATACATGGGAACAGTTTCCGTTGTTCTTCCGACAATCATGTTCTTTTACATACGCTCCATGCAGACCAATCAGTTGCATATTATCTACGTCCTTAGTTATTGCTGAATAATAAAGATACTTGGTTTTATTTTAATTAATAAGTACAATCTGAGCTACGATTAATATGTTTAACTTAATATGTTTAAATCTTCTCCTTATAATTTTATCATTTTCTTGAAAGAAATTATTTAAATAAGTAAAAATCACTGTTTCTAATCGTTCAAGCAAAGTTTTATAATTTATTTACGTTAACTCACATAAGGTAATACGCTTCAGATTTTGTTCGGTGTTGCTTTTCCTGGTCCAATACAATTGATTCGATTTATATTGGGTCCAAAAGACGTGATCGTTGAGGACTGCAAGACTCACAGGCTCTGATAATCCGGTACGAAAGATATACGTTTTAAAATCTGAAACAAAACATGCAATCCTCAAGATTAATGGAACGAATCGTGCAAGAAACTTATGTATTGATCGTTGAGGATTTTCTGCGAATATATGAAAATTGAATAAGAATTTTTGCCGTGTCAAACCTGGTATTGTCGTGGTACCAATACGTCCGGTGCCTTGATCACTCCAAAACAATTGCTTCAAATCTCTATCATAGCACAAAGACACCTTTGGTCCCTCCAATGGTTTACCTTCCCCTTCGATAGTCACCCTCGGCCCCAGGCCATTCATGTTCATTATGTCTATGCGATATTTCTCGTCCATGCGAAATACGACTGCCATTGCTCTGTTATTTTATACAAAATAATATATGCAATATGATTTTATTTAAAAATGGATAAATATTACTTAACGATGCAACTATCAATGACTGGTTTTGAATGAACGACGAATGGCAATTGAACGAAGAAATGCATTGATATAAAAAAAAGTCAGTAGTAAGAATTGTTGTTTTCTCTGAAGTTAATTACCCTTCTTCCGGTATCAACGCTATGCCATGAGGTTCCTCTTGGAAATAGAATACAGTTTTCTCTTTGGTATTCAAACTGTGGACTTCAATCGTTTTATGCTTCACGTCTGACATATATAGATTATTCCCAATGTAATCGAAATCCATTCCACCCAGCAGTTCGTTCTCGATGGATGAGATGCTTTTCAATTCGTTGGTGAACGTGTTGAAGTAGAAAACGTCGTCTGACAATTGGTCACTCGCAAATAAACCACCTATACAGATTTTTTATTTAGTATAAACGAAAATTAATAAACATTCACAATAGAACATATGTTAATTTTCTTGAAGTTCCTGCCAGGTATTTCAATACTAATAATTTCCACCTTGCAGATAAACGATTAAATCTTTAATTCAATTTAATATTGCATAACAAATTTCATACCGGTGAAAGCGTCATAGGCAACCGCAGTGACGTGCTTCAATTTCAACGTAACGTTCGCTACCATTTTTGGTTTTCCCAACAATTCGTGATAGTAATCTATAAACGTGTTCCCTGCTACTATTACCAAGTGCGCCTTCTTCTTGATTGCTGGAATTTATTAATTTTTAAATCGATTATCAGCAATAATTAGACTGCAGATTTTCAGTTTTCTTATAAATGCACAAAATCTGCAGTCTAATAATTTCTTACATTCTATGAACAATTCAAATAACAGACTGCAGATTTTTATGCAAAATAAGATATTTATGGTAGCAATATAAAAAGACATTTTCTCTTATTTAAATAATTCAAATAATAATTTACCACGACAGCTGTGTTTATCAGAATTCAATTCTTTATCAATGGTGCAGGCACAGGTGTAGTTACTCTCAGAGTTTAAGAGACAGAGTTCCTTGCAGGGGCTCGAGTTGCACGGATTTGGTATCTGTTAAATAATTGATATTTTATTTTTATAACATATAAATTCGAGTATAAAATGATGAGAGTTACCTTGGGTTTCAAAACGGAGTGATATATGTGTATACCGTAAATGGTGCTATTCGCGTTTACTAAAACCTTCCAATCCTCCCCGGTGAATTTATCACACGATTGTATGGTATTCGATATCCAATCGCTCCAGTACAGTCTATCTTCGAACACCGCCAACGAAAATGGTTTCTTTGCTACTTCCTTTAATACAATCTACATAAACAAATTTAAATTTAAATGTAAATAATTCAATATTATTAAATATAATTAATTCCATCGTCATTCATCGAATCATTCATTAGGCAAGTTTATTTAAGCTTGAATGTATTATATTTAATTTTGAATGTACCCTGCGGTCTGTGCCATCCAGTCGTATCGATTCGATCACCTTCAGTTTACTGTCTATCCAGTATAATCTATTGTTCGTATAATCAATTGACAAGCTGTTTGCCCATTCTAAATCTTGACCAATTAGCACGGTGCTGTTCTTGCCGTCCATACTAGCCATTAAAATGCACGAATTTGTGCCCCATTCGCTCCAATACATTATGCTATAGAATAAATTAATTATTTTGAATATTTAATTATTGAATATTCAATTATTATTAGGCTGTGAATTTATATGGAAGTACAAAAAATTTGTATATAAAAATTACATAAATTAATATAAATCCTATATTGTCAAATTCTAACAATTATAAATCTGTATAAATCGATTAGATTCTTTATTTATTTTTTAAAAGTTTCGATTTCGCATAAAAATCCTAAGCCTAATTTTTATTTAAATTCTGAGACTTGCAATTAGGAACTTCCTCTACTTTTTTTTTAAGAATCATTGAAGAACTCACCCGCTAGACGGTAACAGGGCGAGCGCTCTCGGTTTATCGTTTCGTTCTTTGATAACGATGGTGCAGTAAAAACCGTTCCCGTTGCAAACACCAATGTGCATGTAACCACTGTCTGTGAAGTAGATGTTCCCAGTTACCCAGTCCACTGCTATGTCGTCCGGGCTGCTTAAACCTTAACATTTTAAGAACTATACATAAAGACGTCTGTTTGTCGGGTCTTGTTCTTGCGTAATTTCATTGCACTTATATTACCACTTACATGTTTATGGTATATTAAATTGTACAGTACAATTGTATAGTAAAATTATGTAATAAAATTATATGGTAAAATTGTATATATTTTATTGTAAGTAATACCGGTTGTGACAATAACTTCGCGTTGCGAGCCATCGTCCAAACTTCTGATTATTGCTTCGTCGCCGTCTTCTATGTCAGACCAGTATACATAATTCGCATCCTGTGAAACAGCCACGGCGTGTTGCAAATTTCGCATCAGCGAGTAATCCACCTGGGAGTCGAGGTAGTAGCCACGAATTTCTGATTTAGTCGAAAACACCATCCAGGCCTCGCCACCTGAAGAGAAAACGAGAATTGTCTGATCGTGTCTATGATAAATTATTCTGAGGACGATTATGTCTGATTAAATTTATTCGTTCTTCAGAGTCAAAGAAATTCAAATACCTTCAGCTTTGCAAGTTCTTCTATCGTCGCTCGGTGTGTAACCAGGCTGACACAGACAAGTATAAGACCCTGCACTATTTAAGCATTGCTGATCGCAAATTCCATAAATTTCGCACTCGTTCACATCTGTGGATAATAGAAATAATTCTGATATTGCATCTTCTCGATTTAACTCGGAAGACGAGTATACTTAATTGTTTTTAATTATTACCATTGCAAGTTTGATTGTTTAATTTGTATCCGGATCTACAAGAACATTGGGCACCCTCGGGCGTTCTTCTACAATTGTGTTCACAGTTTGCTNGCTGCAAACCTTGGCTAATTTATTAAAATTTATCACTACGATTTTTAGTAATTCTCTAAAACTCTAATAATATTTAGTGATGAATTCTTAGCATTACTTTAAAGTCTTTGCAGTTCGCCTCGTCTGAATGATCGCCGCAATCATCGTCCCCGTCGCACAAATGACTACGCGAAATACATTTTTGATTCTCGCATAAGAAGTCCAGTGGGTCGCAGCGTATAACTAAAATTTGTTATTAGTAATACGAAATGTGTAAATTACGTGAAGGTTTTCTTCGTTTAACAAAGTTACACGAACGTGAAATTATTGAAATTTACCTGTGGTCTCGATTTGCGAACAGAAGACGTTGAGGATGAAGAATAGAAACAAATTGCGGTTCATAATTCTGTAATAATTTTAATTAATCGATACTGATTTCTACTTGAGAATTTAAATTATTAGTCTTAAGTATTCTTATTACTTTCTATTAGTCTTGTTTCTCTCTCTTTGTCTCTCATATGAAGTATTTCTTAATAGTCTTCCTCAGTTAATTATATGAAGTTCTCAAATCGCTGTTACCACTACGACTGTTACTTACATACTAAAAGTCCTTCCAGAGCGAAAATCGAGTCCTTCGAGAACGAAGATCGTTTACTTAAACATACACACGTTACAGAATACCTTTATATCATAACAGATTAATACGAATTTCAGTCGATGTAACCAGAATTATATTATAAAGACATAATTTCTGATTTCAAGTAAATTTCAATAATAAAATAATCATAATGGTAAAATGGTATGAAATTACAATTAACGTGAATTTTAATTGATAAAAATAGAATTTTATTATATCATAAAGGCACCTAATTTTATATCATATATATTATAAAGACGTCTTATTCCATATATATTTATTTTTATTTGTTATACACAACTTGAGAGAAAAATACTTG